TAATTGCACATATACCCATGTATTGTTTGAGAAATAATGTAAAAATTACAACTATGTGTAAAAAAAAAAAAAAAAAAAAAAAAAAAAAAAAAAAATTGTCATTTTCAAGAAACTTGTGGAAAAAAAAAATATATATATATTCCATGGACTCAATACAGCTCTCAGCAGATAGCTTGGGGTGTCTACTTTCCAAAAAGGGGTCATTTGGGGGTGTTTGTACTGTCCTGGCATTTTAGCACCTCAAGAAATGTGATGAGCAGTCAGAAAGTAAGAGTGTGTAAATTCCATTATCTATACCATAATTTGTAGACGCTATAACTTTGCACAAACCAACCAACCAATTAATTAATTGACACTTATTGGGATTTTTTTTTTTTTTTAACCAAAAACATGTAGCAGAATACATTTTGGCCTAAATTTATGACAAAATTTTAGTTTTTTTGGATATTTTTTATGACCGAAATGAGAAAATGTTTTTTTTAAATGATACTTTCAAAAACTTTTATAGCGCCATAAAAAAAAAAAAAAAAAAAAAAAAAAAAAAAAAAAAAAAAAAAAAAAAAAAAAAAAAAAAAATCGCACAGGTGATCAAATACCACCGAAAGAAAGCTCTATTTGTGTGTGAAAAACGGGCATAAATTTCATTTATGTACCATATTGCATGACCGCGAAATTGTCAGTTAAACTAGTGCATGCACTGTATAGCAAAAAAATGGTGTAAATTGCAGTATCTATACCATAGTTTGTAGACACTATAACTTCCACACAAAGCAATCAATATACACTTATTGGGATTTTGTTTTACCACAAACGTAGCAGAATACATTTTGGCCTAAAATTTAAAACCAACTTTGAGTTTACTATATATTTTTTTTTTATAGCTGAAAGTAAAAAAATAAATTTTTCCTCCAAATTTTCGGTCTTTTTTTGTTTATAGCGCGAAAAATAAAAGTGCACAGGTGATCAAATACCACCGAAAGAAAGCTCTATTTGTGTAAAAAAGATTTTTGTTTGGTTGCAGCACTGCATGACCGCGCAATTATCAGTTGAATTAGTGCAACGCAGAGTAACAAAAAGAGGCCTCGTCATTAAGGGGGGTAAATCCTCTGGAGGGCAAGTGGTTGAGGAAAAAAATTTATTTAAACAATTCGTATTAGGCTGTAACATAACAAAAATTGGAAAAAAGTGAAGGGGGTCTGAATACTTTATGAATCCACATATACACACACAAATATTGGGAAGGTCTGTAATGGAGTGCTATATCAGTCTAACAAGATTTTTTTTGTTAATTGGCGATTTTAACCTGTTTGTCAATAGATGGGTACAGTGCTAAGACATGATATGCAACATAATACATAATGGATAAAATGATCAAAATAAATAGTTAAAAATAAAGATATATATATATAGATAGATAGATATATATCTCAAAATATGGCACCATGTGGTGACCATAGTGAGTGAAGATCCCTATATGATCACAATTCATGTGTGGATATCTGATCCGGGGTGGCAGATGATGTGTCTGAATAAGTAAAGTGCGCACTCACCAGAAGCGCGCCTAAAAACATGCATTTGAGATTAATCCTGTCTCATCAGGTAATACTCAGGTCATCTGCTCCCAGGTCAGGCTCCTATACACTGTCTGGTCCCATCTGTATTAGGTGATCAAGGTCCCTTGGTATGTATCACCGTCTGGGGTCACCTTTAAAGCAGGCTCTGCGAATGACGGCACTCACAGGGAGAGCCCAATAAGGAACACCACATACTGTATAGGGATAACTTTATTCCATAAGACAGGTGTAACACAATCAAATAAGGACACTGACCATATATTCAGGATGGCCACCTGCGGTGGCTTGACGTCCGAATGCTGTAGCCCCCCGACGCGTTTCATGCTATGCACTTAATCATAGGGTGCAGGGCTAGAGGTGGTTGCACTACAGCTGTCTGAGAGGTCACATGCAGCTCCCTGTAATTGTTGAAAATCACAGCAGTAACCTGACGGGAGGTCATCCTCAGAGTGCCAAGATCCTCTTAAAAGGGCCACTAGGCAGCGGCAAGGAGTTAAAATGCTTTTGTAAATAAAGAAATGGAGCGTCAGAACAATGTTGCCTAAAACACACCAATGTCTGCACCAGAACCACTTGCCCTCCTGAGGATTTACCCCCCTTCCTGACCAGGCCATTTTTTTGCGATACTTTAACTGAAAATTGCACGGTTATGTAACACTGCACCGAAATGAAATTTACGCTATTTCCCCATGAATTGAGCTCTCTTTCTGTGGTATTTGATCGCCTGTGTGTTTTTTTTTAATTTTTTGTGCTATAAGCAAAAAAAGACCGGACAATTTTGAGAAAAAAAAACCCCAAAAACAATATTTTGGACTTTTTGCTATTAAATATGTCCAGTAAAAACAAATTTAAAACAAAATCAGATATTTAGTCATAAATTTAGACCAAAGTGTATTCTGCAATATGTCTTTGCTATAAAAAAAAAAAAAAAAAATCCCAATTTGTGTAAGTTAATTGGTTTACGTGAAAAAAATTGTAGCGTTTACAAAATGGCGGTATAGATCATGGAATTTTTTTTTTCTATTAGTAATGGCGGCGTTCAGCGACTTTTAGTGGAACTGTAGCGGACATTCTGACATTAGTGGGGAACTAACTTGGTGTCGCTGACATCCCCAGTGATACAGTGATCAGTGCTTAAAAAAAAAAGCAGCACTGACACTGTACTAGTGGCACTGGGCGGGAAGGGGTTAATGCAAGAAGCGATCAAAGGGTTAGCTATGCTGGGAGTGTTTTATTAGGGGGCGGGGTGTGCTTCCCTTTAAGCACACTGATCCGGGTGGCTGTACTGTGCACAGCCATCCCGAGCAGTGTGCTCGAACTGACAGGGAGGAAGATTGTTATAGTGTATCTGCTATCGGGCGGTCCTTAAGCGGTTAAAATCTCCAATGAGATGGTTTTTTATCGAAAGCACTTGCTGACTGTTCCCTCTTAAGCACATCGTTCAACTAACCCACTATCAGGATGCCCTAAGAGCACAAGTCAACACTTGAGGCAGCCCCTTTATTGAATAGAAGTGGTACAGAAGACATTAAATAAAAAGGCTACACAACGGATAGTGCAGAGGCCCCCACGAAGCGCTCAAAGTGTGTTAATGCTCTGGAAGATGGGTACAGGCAAGTAAGCATCCTTAAAAAGGGTTCGTTCATCTTTACCAAAAAAAAAAAAAAAAAAACCTGCCCATGCAGATAAGGGGTGCCTGTAGATAAAAACAAACTGCAGTTCTGACTAAACCGGAATAATGCCCTTGCTATAGGTGTAGGCCATTTACATACCTCATGAAGCCTGACCGGAATACTCCCAGGATGTTGCTAGTGAGGCCTACATGTTATTGCTCACCTCTTCCGTCACAGGTGTGAGCTCTCAGACACTGAGCTCAGAGCTACTGTATCAGGAGACAGAGAGCATGTGCGGGGGTCTGAATCAGAGAAAAAGATCATTCCTGTGATGGTGGAGGTGAGCACTAATGACTAGGCCTCACTTAGCAATGTCCTACCAACGTCTTGGGAGTATTCCAATCAGGCTTCATAAAGGTATGTAAATGGCCCACACCTATGGCAAAGACATTATTCAACCTTAGTCAGAGACACACAGTTTGTTTTTATCCACAGACGCCCATTACCTGCATAGGCAGTTCTTTGATGAAGGTGAACTATCCCTTTAATAGCCACCAAGGCCTGAAAGTCTGACTGGTAAGGGAAAGTAACAAGATCTCAACTATCCCATCCAGAATTTTGGGACTCAAACGTTTTCAGAACCTTGAGGTCCAGAATGGGAAGGGGGGGGGGGGGGGGGTGTCTTGCAGCAGGGGAGTGTGATCATGGATGTCATCTCAGTGGGAAGAGAGCGCACAACACTTAACTCAGCAAGAAGGACATCAGCACTCTGTCCCAAAGCATTAACTCTTCTGTGGCAAACTGGCAGGAAAAATAAAATGTTGCTGCCCAGGACTAAAATGAGGGAGCACCCAGTGCCCTGCCCAAATGACCTACTCACATTGGTGAGTCTTTCGAGACCGAGCAACTGCAAGGCAATGCCAGCAGCTGTGGACCTGGAAAGCCCTCCATAGCTAACACAAGAACCACTCTGGAAGGCACTCATGTGGAATCCAATGTCCAAGAGTCACCTCCAGACTCATCCCGCAACATCCACATCAGCAGGGTCCAGGAGCAGTAAAATCCATAAGTCAAGGTAGACTAACTGCAAGAAAGGTGGGAACCACAAACAGTTACACGGTGAAGAGACTTAGTTGAGGAGAAAGTTTATAGTATAGATTAAGTCTTAAACTCATCGAAGCTGAAGAAAAAAAAAAAAAAAAAAAAAAAAGGACATCCATTCTAAAAACACTAGCAAATAATGGAGGCCTGGCCAACAGTTTGCCAGTGTCCAATCCTCCTGTATGTGGCAATTTTCCCATGTCCCTCAATGGACTAAAAAGGAAAGACTTCCATTCTTAAAATATTTTTTGTGGGGAGAGGTCTCTCCCACAGTTGCCAGCTCTACTCCAATGGAGCCAGGGTTGCTGAGCATTTCCACCTGTTTTTGAGATCCTAACTCTTCTGTTCCTTACAATCTAACCTCACAGGAAGAGCAGGATCCCATTGCAATGCTTACAGCATGTCTGTAGCAGACCTGGAAATTCAAGCATACAAATCTTCATCTGACATCCAAAAAGAGGTTAAGAACTAGATCTCAATTCTCCAGCATCTCCATTTAAGCCAAAATGAACACACACTTAAGCAGAACCCTTGACAAAACAACCAAATACAGTTGTGTGTGAACTGTGTATCTTGGAAAAGAAAGGAGACTTAGAAATCTACCAAGATTGGGGGGGGGGGGGGGGGGGTTTGAGAAGGAGTGGTGTCACCAGTTTAGCTAAGAAGCATGGCAGGAAAATATGTGTTCTGTGTTAAGAATCCATTTGCATACCTTTGTTCTCGGGTTTGCTAAAACTAGAGGAGTCACTTTGCTTGATGGCCTCTCTACCCCCAGCTGGTGAATTTTGCCTCTGGTCTTGTAACCTTGAGTCCTTTGCTGTAAAAAAAAAAAAAAAAAAAAAAAAAAAAAAAAAACAACTTCAATATAAAATAACAAAGAAAAAAAACAAAACAAAAAAAAAACAACACCATACACAAAAATAAACACAGGCCCCTCCTAAAGTTACTCTTACACGGATACGTTTTAATTCCAAACCTTGTGTTGAAAATGCAAAAGAAAAATATGTGACCAAGTATTCCTATGGGACTCTTCACACTGATCCGTTGCAGGTCTGGTGCATTTTTCCCAGATCCCATTTGCTGCATTCTTGGTATGTGTGTTTGGGGAAAGAAAAGGGGGAAGAGAAAAAAGGGGGGGGGGGGGCGGGGGGGGGGGGAGAAATCTCTTTGAAAGCCATGAAAAATGCAGCAAAAAAAAACCACATAAAAAATAAAAAAAACCTGTGTTGCATGTTTGGTGCGGTTTTTGAGCCACATGTACTTAAAAAAATAAATAAAAACAAAAAAAAAAACGCACTGCAAATGCACTTTTGCCATGGATCAGTGTGCAAGTAGCCTTATAAAGTCATAAATATACATCTTAAGAACATAACAAAGGACAAACTACAAACAACTTGCTTGCCTACGAGTTTTGTATGTCCCGCTATGAGGTCGGACAGGAGCACTTCTGGGGAACAGACCGCAGAAAAGAAAATTCAAGAGTTCCACTTAAAGAGCAGTTTAGCATTTTCCAGGAAGTGCTCCATGGGGAACCCAATTTTCTGTCAGCATTCATTAGTCACAGTGCAGAGCAAATTTGACACCAAATTTTAATTTAGTTTTAGTCAGTCTTTTTACTAAAATGCTATTTTAGTCATTCATATTGTTTTTGATGCATTTTACCTGACCAAATAAGTGTTAATTTCATTGACAAAATTAACACGGATGCAAACTCCATATCAGCTTTTCAGAGCACGATTCACAGGATAGGCAAGTTTCAACCCTTTGTTCTAAAAAGAAATTGTAACTTTCCATTTTAACCACCAATACTGGACCCTTTTACCCCTTTCCTACCCAGGCAAATTTTCAGCTTTCAGCAATCTGAATGCAATTAGTCATGCAACACTGTACCCAAATGGAAAGGTTATTTTGAGATTGAGCATTTAAAGTGGAGCTCCAGTGAAAATAAAAAACATTAAAGTCAACAGCTACAAAAACTGTAGCTGCTGACTTTTAAAAAATGGACACTTACCTGTCCTTCGATCCCACTGTGTCTCCCCCACAGCCAGTTTCACCAGCTGCCTTGTGTTCCTGGTGCCGGCATCTTCAGTGTGGGCACCCGGCTGTGACAATACCTGTCAATTTCAAGTACTTGTTCCCCAAAAGGTGCTGGGGGACCAATCCTTAAGGCAGAACTTCCCCTTTTGGGTGCAGCTCCACTTTAACCACAACTGGAATTCATTTTTTGCTAAAACGAATTACTTTGGAAAAAAAAATAATACCCCAAATCAGTGTATATTCTTTAGTCTGTATGACAATTAGAGTCTACAAACTATGGTATAGATTTGAAAATTGATCAGTACCAATATGACACTCATTTCTTGAGGCTCTAAAATGCCAGGACAGTATAAATATCCCTCAAATTACCCCTTTTTTGAAAGTAGACACCCAGGGTATTTAGTAACTGGTATAGTGAGTTCTTTTAATTTGTAATTTTTCTCAATTTTTGGAAAATTAATAAGTTTTGTTTTTCTTCAATACTGGTACAATGTTTTCTACAGGCCTGGTACAATGATCCGTAATGATCAAGTGGTAGCCTGCACTGCCCCTAGGGACCTGGGAGGATATCTTGACCATCATTACCTCCTGCATGTACTGCCTGCTGTTATTCCCTGCATGTAGAAAACTACATTTTATCATTCACTTCAACTGTATAATGGCTAATTTACAAAAGGAGTTTAAAATCTTAAATTTTTCTGTGCACTGGGAATACCTGGTCTAGTGCAGATTCTTTTCATATGATTGTGTAATTAAATATTTGTGAACAATTTTCTATTAGATTGTAGAGTCATTAAATCATAACTCAAGGTATCGATGGCTTCCTATCACTAGTCCTTTTCCATCATGCTTTTTAAACATTTTACCTTCACAAGATGGGGTAACTGCTCTATTTGAAGCTGGGCTTGCAGGTGTTGGTGATCCAGTGGGTATAGGCACAGTTACAGATTCAGGCGCCATAGAACCAGCCTGAGGAGAGTTTAGAGGTGGAGCTGTAGAACCACTACTCATGGCACTTTGTCTTGGAGATCGGGGTCGGTGAGTCTTTTGGAGAAAGTCTCTGCACTGGAAAAAAAAAAAAAGAAAATACACCACACAGAAATAAATCAGAAAGTGTTCAAGATTCACAATATAGTATCATGAAAGATTACACACACACACACACACACACACACACACACACACACACACACACACACACACACACACACACACACACACACACACACACACACACACACACACACACACACACACACACACACACACACACACACACACACACACACACACACACACAGCTTGTTTAACAAATTTTCAGTTGGTACGTCTGATCCAAGCAATGTCCAAAAGTTAATGTACAAAAAAAAAAAAAAAGGAGAAGAGCAAAAGGTGACTTCTAAAAAGGTGCTGGTACACCCTCAAGATAGTAAAAACAGACACACTGGATATGTAAAAAAAAAAATAAAAAAAAAAAACCCCACACACAACACAAAAACTAAGTTTTATTATCCATCGTGAAATAGAACATACACGCCCTCCCATAAACACAGGTAAGAAAATTAACCCTTCAGTACAGTGAACCCCATTTCACACCTTCCCTCTTATAAAAAAAAAAAAAAAAAGATCCTTGATTTGAGCAACCGTCAGTGTGGGTAATTTACATTAATATAATTTATATATTATAGGTACTTATATAGCGCCGTCGATTTACATATATATTGTACATTCACATCAGTCCCTATCCCTCAAGGGGTGAACAATCTAAAGTCCTTAACTTACATTCATACATGCACATACTAGGGCCAATTTGGACAGGAGCCAATTCATCTACTGGCATGTCTTTGGAGTGTGGGAGGAAACCGGAGTACCCGGAGGAAACCCACGCAGGCACAGGGAGAACATGCAAACTCCAGGCAGGTGGTGCCGTGGTTGGGATTCAAACCAACGACCCGAGTACTGCCAGGCAGAGGTGCTAATCATTTAGCCACTGTGCTGATGTTGGTTATAACTAGGTTAATCTGTGTTGTCACATAGACTTTGATGTGTAAGAAAAGAAATACGATTTGAATATACTGTATTTCATGATCCCTTCTGTATTTACAGGGCTTTCCCCTCCTTTGAACTCCTGAAGAAGCCAACTCAGCGAAACACGCTGGTTTACCATCTTATCTTCCTAAATTCATGTTATATTTATTTGTGACTTTTTTGGTCATGGTTATAAGAGGGAAGATGACAAATAGGGTTCACTGTACTGAAAGGTTCAGGTTCTGTTTTTATGGGAGGGGGCGTGTATGTTGTTCTATTTCATCATGTGTAATAAAACTTAATATTTTTTATACATCCAATGTGTCAAAGGTTTCTATCCTGAGGGTATACAAGCACCTACCTTAAAAGTCCTTTACACCTTTGCTTTTTTTTGTACAAACAAAAAAAAAAAATTCCATACTATGGTTCAGAATTGCCAAACTACCTAAAAAAGGTGCACCACCACCACACCAGCTTTAAAAAGGTCCCAAGGAGGAGGTTTTCATAGTTCACCCACTGTAGCTCAGTCCTAAGCTAAATTCACTCTGCTCACACAGGTGTCCAGCTCACTTTCTCACAGCTAGCAGCGGTTTCCTCTTCCTTTTCTGGACTATGAGGCACATTAATTAACTCCTACTGGACCAAAGTCCCTGTATCCAGATTTGGAGGTTCTCCCCACACAAAGCTCTTCAAGACATCTGAAATTCCAGGTCTCGAATAAGGACTTGGTAAGCCAGTCCTCTGCTTTTCAGACAGACTAACCTGGAACTCCTCACCCTACATGGGTGAGAACACCTAAGTACTCAAGGTCTTCAAACTCTCCCCTTAAAAAAAAAAAAAAAAAAAAAAAAAAAAAAGGGATCTCAACTCAAATACTGGGAGAATATAGCTGCCATCCGGGACACATTCCCAGGCCCTGTACAACATATACACATTACCGTGCAAAGGTGTTAGGCATGAGTGAAAAATGCTGTAAATTAAGAAGGTTTCAGAAACAGAAGTGTTAGTTTATTTTTATCAATTAACAAAAAAAGGAAAGTAAAATGAACAGAAGAGAAATCCAAATCAATATTTGGTGTGCCCATCCTTCGCCTTCAAAACAGCTTCAGTTTTTCTAGGTACACTTGCACACAGTTTTTGAAGGCACTCAGCAGGTAGGTTCTTCCAAACATCTTGGAGAAACTGATCACAGATCTTCAATATTCCCAGACAGACTTAATGCTGAGGTCAGGGCTCTGTGGGGGCAAAACCATCACTTTCAGGTGTCCTTTTTCTTCGTTACACTGAAGATAGTTCTTAAGGACATTGGCTGTATGTTTGGGGTCATTGTCCTGCTGCAGAATAAATTTGTGGCCAATCACACATCTCCCAGATGGTATGGCATGATGGATAAGTATCTGTCTGTATCTCTCAGCAATGAGGTTACCATTGATCCTAACCAAATCTCCAACTCCATTTGCAGAAATGCAGCTCCGAACGTGCAAGGGAAAATTTGCAACCAGACATTTAGACATAAAAAAAAAAAAAATCATGGAATTGTTATAACAAAATGTAATCTAAAATTTTGACCCAAAAGTAGCCACCTTTTACAGATATAACAGCTGAACACACTCGTGGCATTCTTTTCTACAACGGCAATCAAATATTGTTCTGCAAGTTCTTCCCAACACTATTGCAGAAGTGCTCACAGAATGTTTTGCACTTGTAGGTGGCTTTGCTTTCACCCTTCTGTCCAGTTCATCCCAAACCAGCTCGATGAGGTTCAAGTCTGAAGACTGTGCTGGCCATGATTTGAAGCCTGTAGTCTTGTTCTTTTCTTCTAAAACAGCCTGGAGCTATGTTTTGAGTCATCATCTTGCTGTGGGATAAACCCCTGATCAACTAGGCGTATTCCAGAGGGTATTGCATGGCGCTGCAAAATGCTGTGGGAGCAGTTTTGGTTCAGGGAACCATCCTTTCACCTACTAGATGGCGTACACAAATCATGCGTGATGAACCAAAGAGCTGAAATTTTGATTCATCGGTTCAGTTTTCAGTAGTCCATTGGCAGTGCTTCATGGCCTTGGCAAGCCTTGTTTTTGTCATTTTAGCAATGGCTTTCTTACAACCACTCAACCTGTCAAACCTGCTCGAAGTCTTCTCTTTAGTTAAAAACTGAGACTTGCTTACGTCGATCAGTATTACACTGTGCTTAAAGCTGCTCTCCTGTGAGCTGCCTGTCTCTCCTGTGGCTTTGGGTCTACGAGTCCATTTCCAAGTGTCTTTGATGGTGTCAAAAAACTGTACTCACCGATACCTTCTTTTATTAAAAAGGTCTTCCCTTCTCACCACTTTGAGCGCAATGTACTACTTCCTGCAGTACAATACTGTCCAAATATTGCTTAAGAGTGCAGTAGCAGTCTGTTTCAACTCTCTTTATACAGAGAGCTTGAAAAGTAATCAAACGTTAGGACACCTGTAAAAAATTGTTAGCATAAACATTTAAAGCTTAACCACTTCCCATCTGTAAGAAGTACCTGCAGTGTAGTTGAAGTGGTTATACTGGGGATATTGCTGCATCTGCAGTCATGACCCCAGCACCAATGTTTTCTGCTGGTGATGCCATGTAATGTAAAAGCAATTTGAGCAGCTGTAGAGCTACTGGATCGCTTTTAAATGCAGTGGAAGGTGGTTCTTAGCAGTCGTTTTTACCATTCCAGTGTGATATGTTTGGTATCTATTTACTCGGCGTAACATTTTAGATTTTACCAAAAGATGGGGTATTATATTGTGCTCTTGTGCATTGTGTATTTTTTCTTAAAAAAAAAAAAAAAAAAAAGATTTTTTTCTACATGTATGAGAGAAGTGTCAGAACCGGCCCAGTACTGATGTTATTAATTTACTTACATTGTTACAGAACCACCAAGTTGTTAAACAATTACTTCTGCCCTGAAAAAAGCCTTTGTATAATTTTGAAACTTACAATATTTTTCAGTATTTGTTATCCTAAAAACTTTTCTACCTCTGGCAGGTTACCTACCATACCTTTGTGCCATTTCAGTTCATTCAGAAGTTATATGATATTGACCAACAGAAATCATTTCAAAACACTACAGTGGGAGTTTGGGATCCCCTCTCGTAGGTTCTTCCAATTCCTCCAACTCCATCACACCCTCTCTTCCTAAGCCAAGTGGACTACTCTTGGGATTAACCCCCCTTGCATAGAACAGTTACCTACCACTTGAGATAAAAAGAGCCTCATGTCTTCCCTTTACAGATCTTTATTGGATAGTTCCCTCGGTAACATACAGCTTTCTGACAGAAGAGGATTGTCTAAAGATATAGCTGCCTTACATGCGGAGACGTGGCAAGTTCTTCTGGAACAGTTCCTAATGTCTCTTTCACCAACACAACACTTGTCCCAACCTTTTATCATACAGAGGGCATTATAGAACCCCGTATAAGTTGCATCTATGGGACCGTAGAGAGAGTCCGGATTGTCCCAGATATGGCGGATCCCCGGCAGATCTTACATATGCTCTGGAAGTAGCCAAAAGTGGCACACTACTGGCATAGTGTTATTACTACTATTAATCAGGCATTCCATCCTCTCTTATGACCTGCTGATCTGTGCACTGGGATTTTTGGATGAAGAAATATATTCACCGCATGTCAGGACTGCTAACTCTAGGCTACTGTACCTGGCATGTAAATGTATTATGATAACTGGCTTTTGCCACTTTCTCCTACATTTGAGGATTGATGAATGCAGGTCAACTCCACCCAGCTTAAAGAAAAGCAAATTTTGATGCAAAGAGGCACCCCTCATAGGTTTAATAAACTATGGAACCCATGGCTGCAGGTCCCAGGACTGGCACCCTTAGTGCTCATGTCCCTGCAGATACTACAATGTTAACCACTTACCTACCAGGCACATTTACACCCCCTTCCTGCCCAGGCCAATTTTCACCTTTCAGCACTGCTGCACTTTAATTGCGCGGTCATGCAACACTGTACAAATGAAATTATAAAAAATTTCATCACACAAATAGAGCGTTCTTTTGGTGGCATTTATAGAGGGGAAAAAAAAATATCTGTTTCGGTTATAACATTTTGCAAAATCTTTCTACACAAAATTTAGGCCAAAATGTATTCTGCTACATGTCTTTGGTGAAAATAACACAAACCAGTGTTTATAATTTAGTTGATAGGAAAGTTATAGATGCCACAAACTATGGTATATATCTAAAGATTGCTAAATCCTGATCTCACTTCAAAGGCCCAAAAAGACCAGAACAGAACAAATACCCACAAAATGACTGCTTTTCGGAAAGTAGATAGTCGGAGGTATTTAGTAGGAGGCATGGTGAGTTTTTTGAAGTGTCATTTTGTCATAATTTTGTGGAAAGTGAAGAAAGAAAAATGTTACACAAATTTTTTCTTTTTTTTACTGTCACCAATGTAGTACAGTGTCATACTATAACTGGTGTGGCAGTGATCAAAGACACTGACTGGCAACCGAATGTAAAAAAAAAAAAAAAAAAAGAAAATTATTATTTTTTTTTTAAATTAGAAAAAAAAAAGTAATAAAATAAAAAAATAAGTAAAAATAGTTTGGTTTTTTTTTTTACCATTTTTGTTTCTACTCCTGTGACCAGAGCAGTACAATGTTACCATAGTATTCATATTAAGAACCTGCATGATCTGTTGTACTGGCAGATATGGGTGGTTGGGGTACACAATTGGTAGGCACACTGCGTGTTTTTGTTGAAATGGCATAGCAGTGGTACTGCTCCTTGTTTATTATTTGTGCTGAAAACAGTTAACACTTGTTACTCCTCACACATTTGTGTGTGTAGGGACTTGAGGGGCATTGCATGGGCTTCATGGCTGAGGATAAATCTTCTTTATTTTGCCAAATGATCGATCTCAGACTATTTTGCTAACTAGGCGCTTTTGTAAAGCACAGACCACTCTGTCTGTACAGAGGGAATGTCTGACTGCTAATGTACATTGTAATGTGATCCCTTTATTTTTTTTTTAAACCTATAAAAAACAAGTTATTCAAATATAAAAAAAAATATTTTTTTCCCCAGGATTCACAGCCAAATCATAATTAGCAATTAGATTGATATAGCAATAGAATCAGAACTACCAAAATAATGATTATGAAATGTAGGAACTCTGAGGGAGCAAGATTTCAATCTTACCTCCGCTCACAACAGATGACCACGAGCTGCCCGAGGAGTTGTTTCGAGCTACAGGTGGAGCAGACACTTCTCCAGGTTCATTACGTGAAACAAACTCAAGGCCCCCGCACATTGTGCTCCTACCATTAGAAACTCTGTGAGGTCGAGGATGCCGCTGTGCCTTGGGTGACATCCTTGGAGGTCCTAGAAGTAAAAACACTTGATAAAATATTTAGCAATCATAGCCAAAAGGATGGTATTTTGTTCACATTCTGAAATTTGTAAACTGAACATGTATCCAAGAAAATGAATGCATTCAAGAAATTATATAGTACACGACACAGCAAAAGGATGGAGGAAGACACACAAGACTCCATTTAAAATATCAGTTGAAGCCACACCAAAAGCTGTATTAGTACAACACACCAGTTACTAACTGTGGGTGCACAGATTCGAACATACATGTGTATACATCATAGAAAAGCTTCAGAGATGCCAAAGATAAAATAGAATATCAATCCATCCAGCATGAACGGTTCAGAAAGCACTCTTAAAGAATGTCACTAACAGTTTGCTACACTGTATGTACAGATTCCACTTATATGTAGTTCTGATACTAATTTTAAATTCTAACACTAATATTATTATAAATACAATTTAAAAAAGGGCCTTCTAAATGTCCTGAAGTAGAAGAATCAACAGGGACAAGGGATCATGATAATTCCAAAGAAATGGCAGTGTAATAAACATCAAACTAATGTTTGTAAAAATCTATGTTGTAAATGAAAAATTGGCCTTAATCTACTGTTAAAAATGAAGCAGACAGACAAAACAAATACCATTATGCAGCATATCAGTAAGGAGAGAACATTAAATGGACCTTCACTATAAACTGCTATATGCATGTTCACAGATTAGAAAGTTAATTTTAATAACACATATTTGCAGTAATAAATGTATTAAGTTTCTTTTGTATTGGTCAACTTTACAAGCCTTACTTTTAATCTGCAAAGCAACAGGTCAGAAATCTGCTAAATGTTCTCTAAATTCTTACAGTGAGCAAAGACATTTAAGGTAAATTGTAGAATAAAATATGTAGAGATCACTTAAATTACACACACCTGCCAAATGTGCAGAGTTAAGCAGCAGAGGTGGTACCACATTTCCAGAAGGTATTTAGGAGAAAACAAGCTCTCGCAAGCAAGCAGAGGTCAGTTTCTGACACTCCAGACACACTCACAAAAATACATCACTGTCCATCACAAGATCTTACCATTTACCTATACTTTAAATAAAAAAAAAAAAAAAAAAAAAAAAAAGACTTTTTGGGACGACTGTCGTCACCAAGACAGTATAACCTCCTCAGCAATAAATGCCCATTAGAGGTTCCAACCCCTAACCACTATCAAAACCTTAAATTGTTTGTATTTCAATATACTGCAAACCCATTACAAAGTGAAAAGGAATAGATTCTATCAAAATTAAGATTCAGATGAAACCTACAATTTACCTTAACCCTACTAAGGATTTAATCCCTTCAGATCTATACTTACCCTGAGTGTATACAAGTACCAGCACTGTCCGCTACTGACCTATGCGTAAAACAAAAAAACAAAAAAAAAAAAAAAAAAAAAAAAAAAAAAAAAAAAAAAAAAAACTTACCTGCTCTGTGTAGTTTTGCACACAGCCGCACGGATACTCTTCTTATTGGGTCCCCCGATGGCTCCTGCTTGCTGTCTCAGCCACTGGGGAGGCAGAAACTCCCGTCCAGCACATCACTGAATCTCCATGAGGCTCAGTTATGTATTGAGAGGACTGGAGGCACTGCTGCACACAGGTTTTTTTTAACCTGGAGACTTTACAATCACTTTAAAACATTCAAAGCAAAAAGCATTGTCTGCAATGCTATTTTAATAGGGGACTTCAATTATCCAGATATTGACTGGGCAGACATAACTGCTCTCTCATTTAAGGCTTGACATTTCTTAAATCTCTTGTCGGACAAATGCATGTGTCAATTCAACTGCATGTGTCAATTGGTGGAGGCCCCACCTAGAAATAATGCTCTGCTAGATCTACTAATGACAAACCGATCTGATTGTAGATGTGAAAATAAGGGATAACTTATAAAACATTAATCACAGAGTGCATTCAGTGCCGGTTTGTATACAGTGCTCAGCATAAAAGGAGTAAACCCCCAACAGATTTGTCAGAAAACATTTCCTTTCCTTTCAGAATCAACATTTTCTATGGGACACTACTACAAAATATGCCCACGAATGCAGGCCATTGATTGCAAAATATTTGTTAATTTGCTCACACAAAGTATTTCTCATAAAATTCATTCAAGACCAAGTTGCAAAAACGAACACACCCCAATGAAAGGCTTATGGAGCAAAGCTAGATTTTAGACAAATCCTAACAAGAATTCAATTACAGGTGAGTCTAAATTATTCACTATACAAGTGTCCAGCACACAGCTGATTATAAAAAAGGGTGTTACTTAAAGAAAACCCCTCCCATTTCATGCCGTCAGCAACAGCACCACATGGAAGAGAAATGTCACAAGGCCTGAGAAAGAAAATCATTTCTTCACACAAGAAAGGTGAAGGCTACAAGATGATCAGCAAAGCTTTACTTGTCAGTCAGAATACTATAGCAAAATTGATACAAAAAATTTAACAAAGATGGAACTGCAACAGTCTCACAGACACATCCGGCCATCCACGGAAGTCAACACCTTGTCAGGAGAATCTTCTGATGAGAAGGGTTGAAGAAAAATCACCATTCAAATTCACTGTGCTGCGCTAAAGAAGTGGAAAGCCAAATTGGGGTGATTGTTTTTCCCAGACACAATATGACGTATACCGCAGAGGAATGCCATGCATGGGTGTCATCCACGAAGGATGCGTCTCTTAAAGCCCATGCACAAAAAAAGCCCGCCTAGAATTTGCCAGAGCCCATTCTGAAAAATAAAACTACTGGGAATCTACTCTGGAGTGATGAGACCAAGATAAATGTTTTTGGAACTGATGGCTTCAAAAGTGCACGGCACCACAAAGGTGAGGAGTACAAAGAAAAATGCATGGTGCCTACAGTGAAACATGGTGGTGCCAGTGTCCTCCTGTGGGGCTGCGTGAGTGCTGCTGGTGTCAAGGAGCTGCATTTCATTGATGATATCATGAATTCACAGATGTATTGCTCTATATTGAAACAGAAGAGGCTACCACCACTCTGTGTCCTTGGTCATTGTGCACTGCTCCAACTTAAAGCGGAGCTCAACCCAAAAGGGGAAGTTTGGCTTTAATGCATTGTCCCCCGCTCCCTGTTAAGGATTGGCACCTTTGGGGAGCTAGTACCCGAATTTGACAGGTACCTGCTCCCACTTCTTCTGCGATCACCTAAGGTGATCGGAAGCGGATGTTGTGCCCCCCCTCCCCCCGTAGTCTTCAGGGACACGTGACAGGTCCCAGAAGACTACAGGCCATTCACAAAAAGAACAGTGCTATTCGCGCATGCACAGTGGGCACCTGGCTGTGAAGCCGCAAGCTGTCATAGCCAGGTGCCCACACCGCTGGACCGAGGGACAGGTGTCTGTAGTTTAAAAATCGGCAGCTACAGTTTTTGTAGCTGCTGACTTATTTATTAAATCAGCTGGAACTCTGCTTTAACAATGATCCAAAACACACATCTAAGATCACTGTTGCATTTCTGAAGAACAGGGTGAAAGTTATTCAGTGGCCAAGTATATCTCTTGATCAAAATTCCCCATTAAGTGTTCGATTGGGTTAAGAAAACACAAGTTGATAATCACTCTCCATACAGCAGCCAGGCTCTAAAAGAGATCATTCTTGAAAAATGAAAAAGATAGATGTTGCAAAACGTCGCCAATTTGTTAATTCCACGCCTAGAAGATTGGGTGCTGTCCTTACAAGTCATGGAGGTCATACAAAAAACTAGATGTAATAGTTTTTTTTTTGTGGGGTGTAGTTCATTTTTGCATCCACTTACTTGAGTAAAACTAAAGATTTTATAATGCTAATTATATTAACTTTGCTTACATGTAATGAGCTAAAACTAAAAGTTCTATAAAAATCATTTTGTCAAAATTTTGGAAACTGTTCTTGTGTTCATTGAGATATTGATTAAAATCTTACTTTTCAAATAAAAGGGGTGTACTCATTTATGCTGAGCACTGTACATGCAGTTTGGAATAATGTGAAATAGCATTGCTTCCTATGGTGCCTGTTCGCATATGTCCGGTACACTGGCAGTGCGGATTCAGTGAGGATTGAAAAAAAAAAAAAAGAGTTCTGTTCAATTTCTGAGCAGTGCGGTCCAGTTCAGGTGTGGATTACAGGCTATTGATTCCTATAGGAACCGCAGGTCATCAGTTGTGAACAGGATTTCAATGTAGGATCAGGGTTACAGTTCAGGATCAGGTTTCAGCAGTTGGCTCTCCCCCCCTCCTCAGTAAAACAAAAAAGCCTTGCAAAACCGGATCTACTCTGATCCTGTAAACAGTACAGATCTGCAGCTGTGCCACAAACACCAGTACTGAACCGCTGAACAAGTAGGCTGCAATCCGCACTGAAACTGGACCTTTAAATCCTGAATGCACATGTGTGAATCAGCATTTAGCGTAAATCGTAAGAAAAAGTTAGAACACAAATTTCAAAAGAGCCAACATTTCTAACCGGAGCTCCATACTACAAGATATTAAATAGGATCAAATTCCAGAAACAATGAACACGAGGAAAAATGGGAGTGCTTTATGAACATATTAAATAAAAAGCATTAACCAGTACATTCCAATGGGCAACAAATAAAAAAAAAAAAAAAAAAAAAAAAAAAAAAAAGAAAGGTACCTGGTAACTACAAGCCAGTCAGCCTAACATCAATAGTATGTAAACTATTCGAGGGGATTATAAAAAGGGACTATATTCAAGAATTTGCTTATGAAAACAGTATTCGTAAATCGGCATGGATTTATGAAAGATCATTCTTGCCAGACCAACCTGTTAACATTCTATGAGGAAGTGAGAGGTCATCTAGACAGAGGAAGGCCTGTGGCCATGGTGTATCTGGATTTTGCCAAAACACTCAATAAAAGTTCCCCATTAATGCTTAATTTACCTATTTAGGTATGTTGGCATGGACGACATGTATGTACCTGGATAGAAAACTGGTTTACGGGACATGTTCAAAGAGTGCCGATTTTACAAAAAAATATATATATATTTTTACACAAAAAAAAAAAAAAAAAAAAAAAAAAAAAAAAGATAGTCAACTACATGGCAAATGAGGTTTAAAAACTGAAAAATGTAAAAGGAATGTACTTGGGGGCTAAAGATATGAGCACAAGTTACTAAAGGGGGGAGAACCTTTGGGGGAATTCTGGATGTAAAAAGATTCGGGGATCCTAGCAGATTACAGGCTCGACAATAGCATGCAATGCCAAGCTGCAGCAAGCAAAGCTAGCAGACTATTGGCATGCATTAAAAATGGTATTTACTGAAGAGATAAGAATATAATTCTACCACTTTACAAAATTCTGGTCTGGCCACATCTTGAATATGACGCCCAGTTCTGGTCACCAGTCCTCAGGAAGGATGTGCTGGAACTGAAGAGAGTCCAGAGAAGGGCATCAAAGCCAATAAGGGGACTGGAGGACCTCAGTTACAAGGAATGACTACAAACACTAAACTTATTCTCCCTGGAGAAAAAGACGCTTAAGAGGTGATATGCTAGCGATAAAAAGTATAAATATTTCGATGGTAATTCTAGCAGCAGAAAACCGTCAGTCTCAAGTTGCTTAAAGGGCATGTGTCCACTCAATGAAGTTGGACGAGATGCTGTTTAATCTAAGGGGTTTTTTACTGTCAGAGCAGTAAAGATGTTGAACTCTCTTCCACAGTTGGTGGTCTCAGCAGGGATTGTCAATTTAAAAAAAAAAAAAAAACAAAAAAAAAAAAAAAAAAAAACTCTTAGATGACATCTTAGCGAACGCAATATACAGGGATATGGGAAATGGTATTGACAAAAACACACATACCCACATCGGTTGAACTGGATGAACAGGTGACTTTATTCAACCTTACCAGCTATGTAACTAGATACATTCCCTTCCTACCTCTTTATCAATATAATTTTCTCCAGAAGTATAGGTGCATGTTGATAGGAAAAAAAAAACAAACATTTTATCTGACAGTGTAAAGGACTTTTTTTTTTCTTCTACACTTACACAGGTTTGAATCGCTCTTCACAGAACATTTGACATCAGGTGAGGAGGGAGATTTATTGCCTTGCCATCTGCTTTAATCCCTTAAACCACACACTAGTGTCCCACTCAGCTGAACAGGAATATTTTTTGTTGTGGCCTATGCACTCCGCCCTCCCTTTGCGGCTTTAAAGGGACTGTTTAGGGGGCAGTCTAAACACTGCTCAGATAAGCGTTTTACGACCAACCTCCCCCACTCCACCAAACACAAGTGTAAACAATGCGGAAGAGGTACTGAAAACACTGTTCCTAGACTTTGATCAATGAGTGGATTAAAAATTACTCCAAGTAATGTAGATCTGAGAATGAAAAACCATTACATCTTGACACAATTCTGGCTGTTACCCACTCTGCAAACCTTTTGGGTGTCAGGGCCTTCCCCACCATCTTCCACAGACCTGACATATGTCATGACTGTAAATAAATAACATGGCCAGACTTGAGTCATTACAGAACACAAAAGCAGAATTAGGAGCACAAGGAAGTGTTAACACTACATTCATCTGGATCCACTCTCCTGCACCAACAAATCTGCAATGTGGACACTTCTCAGGAGTATGCGCAGTCAACAGTTTTGAACACAAAGAACAAAATTGGGGAAACTGAAAATAACTACAAATGCAACAAATAAAGCAACATTTGGGGGTAGAAACAGCTTTATATGCACACAGTTATGACAAAGTACAACAAATGAAGATTCATACCAAAAGAAGCAAAACGCAACTGAACAAAAGCAACATATGACAGACTGTTCAAACAAAAATAATCTGAAACTCCAACTTTATAAGATCATCATTACCAGTTGGGTAAAAGCATGAGTAGCAATAGGCAAAAGTAACCAGAAAAACTTGCAAGTCTACTTTAACAAGCAGCAGAGGAAAAATTGCCACTGTTAAGCATATGTACTGTGCGGTACATGATTAGTATTACATGCATTAAAACAAAAAGTTATTCACAAAAATAACAATTTTCCCTTCCTAACATGGCCACAGGGAGAAAGAAAGTTTGCCATAACACTAGAAATAAAATTGGCATTACTTGGGTAACAAAAAAAAAAAAAAAAAAAAAATTGAAAGCCAGTGAATTGACCAACAACTGTGAGCAGCTATCCCAAGTACATGATGAAATTATATGAGCAGTGAAAGTAAGCAACACAAGCTGATCATGCATTCCATGATACACTATGCGCTCAGAGAAGATTTGTTATTGCAGTCCAGCTAAGCAGCCCTAAACAAATATTACTTTTAAGAAACGTGACCATAGCTGCAACAAGGAAGCTGTAGATGTGATTATTAAGGTCTTACGAATGCCATAAGCGTAGATGCAGTATGTAAAGGGGATTTACAAAAACAAACAAAAAACAGAGGTGTTGTACCTTCTGAAGACATGCGTTTAGGCATAGTAGAGACAGGAGCTGGAGAACCATGAGCAGAGGGGTGAGACGGTGGCCTTGATGGCCGCGAAGGGGGCCTGGAGGGCGGCCTTGTAGGGGTGGCTGCCCGAGGTGGAAGAGAGTTGGGACCTGACTGGTAGCGAGAAGGTGGGCGGGAGGAAGGAGATGGACAAGGCGATGGCCAGGGAACACCTGACAGAACAAATGAGATGAAGGAAAGTATAAAAAAAACAAAAATATGGGAAAAGGAAAGTGGGAAAAATAGAAAATAACATAGGTGAACAGAAAAAAGTAAAATATAAACAGAGGGGAAATGATTTTTGGCACTATCTGCAATTTATTAAGAAAGAAAAAAAAGCTTGCAAATAAGAGCTTTAAAGTTCATATTATATACAGTGCAAAAGCTCTAGTTTACACAGTGTTGTAATTACACCCATTTGTGCAATAGGTTACCTATTTTACACAAATTATAAAGTGATCAAAAAAAAGCTTCTAACACTTCTATTAAACAAAAAGCAAAATTAGAAAGATCATACACAAATCGGGGGTATAAAGTTTGTAAACTTGCCTCCGTTAACAACTCTTTGGTCAGTTCCAGAACTGGGACTGTATTCTGAAGAATGTGATCCAGTTCTTGATGGTATAGGTCCAGATCCAGATTGACCCATTCTTGGTGAATTTTGCCTTACACCATGGCTACTCCATGACATGCCATCTTTACTTCTCTGCCCTGGAGGTACATATTTGTTTTCCCTAAATAAATTAAAAGGCATTAAGCACATAATTATAAAGTTTCAGTAAAAAAAAAAAAAAAAAAAAATAGAATATAGTTTTAATATTTATTTTTTTTCTAATGTCTATACCTAGGAGTCACAGAATGTCCATCTCTGTCGCACATGTTGCGCTGAACAGCAGTGTATTTTTCCTCTTCAGATCTGTCATCATTTTCCAAGGCAACACGGGCTTTATATTGAGAGCTTGACTCAATCTCTTCAGCTATTTGAGCTGCTCGTGCTTCCCTCTTTAAAAACTCTTCAGAATTGTCCCTTTCTAAAGGAACTCTGTGGAAAAGTTAAGAATGTTGTTCATAATAAAGAAGGCTTCTAGTATTCACATAAGGAAATCTAGAAGGAAGAGAAAACTACCAAACTGAAAGCCTTTGAATGGCAAAATGACACACACAAGAATATACAAGAGCTAAAGCTACATTTTATCTTGTTTTGACTATTTTGTGGCTGCAGCACTATAATCTTTCAGGACTGCGCCTCAGAAATATATCACTAAAAAAACATAAAAACTAAACTGGAAACCTCTACTTACGTATATGAGGACAGACTGCTGTCATAGGTGGATACTACACCATAATTTTCTTCATTATACCGAAACATTTCATTCGGATCCCAACCATTAGACTGAAACCAAAAACATGGTTAATATAAACAGTCAAGCCAATCACCATAATTTTATCAGCACAAGTACAGCAGTCAAGTGATTTTTTTTGTACAAACCACCTGTTCTAAAATAAGTTGTATCACATTTAGAATCTGCTCAATATCTGACATACATTGATGTGAAATTGCCTTTCTTAAAGTGATTGTAAATGCTATTTTTTTTTTCTCCAACAAGTTTATACTTACCTGCTCTGTGCAATGGAATTGTAAAAGGTCAGCTTAGGATTGTACTCTCCAGACAACTCAAGTGTTTTCCATAGGTTTATCTTTCGTGCCAGACTACACTTTTTTTGGGAAACCTTCGGCCATCAGTATGAAATATTGCATAGAAATATTTCATAGTTACACTCTGCAGTCTGGTACTCCAGGGTTTCAAAAAAACTTTACTGCAATGCTGTGAAAGACCAGAGTAGCATCACAGAATATGCACGCATGCACAAAACTGGTTGAATTAGTAAGAGGAATGACAGCCCCCTCAACTCTTAGTAGAGAGAATCCCCCCCATATCAGTCAAGTGCATAATTAGGCTGCTTTCATGCAGAACCCTTTTACTTCCACTCTTGCATTTAAAAAAAGCAGAAGAAAACACGTGACCATATATTCCTATGGGACTCTTCACACTGATCCTTTGCAGGTCAAGTGCGTTTAAAATTCCTGCTTGCTGCATTTTTGGTGCAGGTTTGGAGTGGTTAACAAATAAAGCACCTCCCCATTGAAATCAATGTAAAATGTGGTAAAAACATTGAAAACCGCATCCACGCTGCGTTTGAGTCATGTGCTGTAAAAAATGCGGCAAAAATGCCGTAAAAAATGCAAGCTAAGATCAGTGTGAAAGTAGCCTCAATGCAGGGCTTCATTAATAAAAATCTCAGCATGTGCTGCAGTATGTTCAGAACAAGAGCACCCTGAAATAATTTAGCTGAAAATTAAAACATTTAAAAAAAAAAAATTAAATTCAAAAATTAAAAAAAGAGGTGTATGTAAATACATTTGAGCTCCTCTTTCTTGCTTGGGCAGGATTCATACCTCACTATTCCCCCAATATATATTTTCTGTTTAAAATCAATGGAAAGGCATAACGACACGCATGAACATGCACAATAAAGTGTGATAAAAATGCACATCAAGCCTCCAAAAACACAAAATGTGTGTGAAAGGACCCCAGGTGTTCCCAGGTGGTTTGTGTCATAATGTGCTACTATGCACCACATACTAGCACATTATGAAAGACTTACCTGTCAATGTGCTCTCCAGCGCTGAGCTGATCTCACGGGTCCCGGGCGCTTCCATCTTCGCCTCTTCCTTCTACGATGACATCATGGTACAGACCAGATTCCATACATGTCTGCTGAACTGTTCAGCTTATTATACTTACCAGCTGAGAGGCAGGAGGAAGCATTTATGACAGAATAAACCAATAGGGTTTCTTCTGACACACACACAAAAAACCATGCATCGTAAAAACAGAATGTCTGAAAAAGACTTACTACATCTGTATCTAAAGATTCCAGCTCATCATTATTAGTAGATGCATTGCTACTAAGGAGGACATCACCCCCATCCCATGGCTCCAGATCTCTCTCTTTATGTTCACCATTAACTTTAGAAGCTATACCCGAATCAGTGAAGCCATCTTAAAAAGGGGGAAAAAAAAAAATTGTTAGGCTATTGGTATGGTAGTTCTGCAGTAAGCATTATAAACAAGTCAATTTTACACGAACACAAAAAAAAAAGTGTGACTTAAAAAAACAATTCTACAGTAAGCAAAGTGATTGCATGCAATATGAACTTAACACATAGCTCAACATTTGCTTGGAGTTAGTCAAGATTTATTAAAAAAGACAGAAAACCGTTGTGTAATGACTGCAACAGCAGATTTTAACATACCAAACTAAAACAGAGTGACAACACTGAAAGTTCTGAAATTATTGTCAGAAGGCCCAATCTACTACACACTACAAAGTGCTATTGGTGGATGTGTGTCTAGCAGCAATCACTGCAGGTAAATCACTGGCTGTGCAAACAGCTACGAATAGCTGCAGCCGCCAACAACCCATCATTAAATGTGCATGGTATCTTTGGCAGCTAGCCGCTCATACCTGTCAAGGAATAGCAGCAGGAATTAGAGTCCTGCCACTGCCATTTGCATTGTGGCAAAATGCCTGTGAGAATGCAGTCTTAGTTTATCAAGATACGTTGAATACAATTCAACTTTTCTATACTGCTAGAAAAGAAAAATTAAATAATTTCTCATTAACTTCCCTAAAAAAAGCCATTTGGAAAAGCAGCAAAAGGGTTTAAATCAGTGGTGCACCAAAATGAAAATTCTGGTGCCGAAACCAAAAATGCAAAATGCACTTGGCCGAAAACCGAAATGCACAGCTTTTAAAAGTGAATATATTTTTTGGAAAAAAAATACACTTTGAATATATATATATATATATATATATATATATATATATATATATATATATATATATATATAATATATATAGAAAAATGGCGAGTAAATAGATACCCAAAAACTGCGTACGCTCGTGGAATGGCATGAAACTGCAGTACTTAGAAATCTCCATGGGTGATGCTTTAAAAATATCTACAGGTTAGCAGTGTAAAGTTACAGAGGAGGTCTAGTGCGAGAATTAATGCTCTTGCTCTGAGGTTCGAGGCGATACCTCACAAGTGTGGTCTGAACACCATTTACATATGTGGGTATGGCCTACGTATGCGTTCACCACTATTTGCGAGCACGGGGGGACGGGGCACTTTAAACTTATTTTTATTTATTTAATGTTTTTTTGCACTGTCCCTTTAAAAAAAAAAAAAATTGTAAACAAACACAATCACTTTTATTCTTATCACAAGAAATGCATCCCTTTTGATCAAAATAATTAGTGACAGGTCCTCTTTATGGAGAGATATGGGGTCAATAAGACCCCACATCTCTCCTCTGCAATATAAAGCATTGGATCAAAAAGCATTGATCTAGTGCTTTACAAAAAAAAAAAAAAAAAAAAAAGGGAACCGGAAGGGACATCACTCTGGTCTTCCAAGGGCATAGAGATAAGTGGAGGCCATCTTTCCTTCACTCATCTCTATGCCCAGCGCCGGGATCATTCGATGGTTTCTCAGGTAATGCTGAGAACTACCGAGCGGCGAGGGTTTTTTTTTTTTCAGCACCTGTATCGGTGCTTTTTTTTCTTCCCCATTTCGGCCAATGGCCGAAAGGGGCGTTTTCAGCCGAAACGTTTCGGCCACCAAAACTTCGGTACATCCCTACTTCCAATATTACAGAACAGGCCCAGTTTACTGTGACTAACTACTACTGGCTATATATTACCTGGATAAAAAAAAAAAAACTTCAGATATATTTCAACTGTTTATGTTAAAACTCTCCCATTTAACCCCCCTACCATAAAGAGTATTGATATCAGACAGCAATCTTCAACTCCATGCGAATCCACTTTAGATTACAATCTTCCTGGCTTTTAAGATTTAACTGTGAATATTTGTTACTACTACACAATACCTCTTCTTGCATAATTCACATCCATGTCTTTAAACTGCACCATCACAAAATCGGAAGACTTGAATAATATACTATCCACGATGTCTTCACGCTTTGGCCCACCAACAGAGTCTTTATTTTTTTTGTGAGCTGCATCAAGAACTAAGTCACACTGTAACACAAGAGATCAGAGTTAAACAAGACCAACATCACATATACATTTACCATATGTTTCTAAATGCACAAAAATCGGGTAGAACAGATTGTAACTCAAGAACCTCTCTTACCTTAGGGCTGTAGGTTTTAAAAACCCCTTCATACACACTTCCATTTTTTACATGTACCTCACATTTTGATCCCTAAAATGAGGATGAAAACAAAAATATCACTTTTACAAAAGAAAAAAGCCAACACCTTTACGCAACACAAAAAGAGTGAGCAGTACTTTATCCAAAACAAAAAAAATGTGCCTTTTTGTTATTTAGAGTGCAGAGGGATTACAACCCGTCAGGTTTAATGGCTGTCTTTGCCCCCGTTAGGGAGATTTATCCTATTTATCCTGTTTACCATTGTCATTGAAAGTAAAAGAAAAACCCAACATTTTCAGTAGTCCCCAGAAATGTAATAGATGGAAAATCTTCCAATAGGGACACTAGTTTTGGTGACCTGGGGCTCCCCAAGGAACTCCCTGAATTTGCATATATTTCCTCCCATTTCTTCTTGGGCTATGGAAAAGGAAGTGAAGGGAAATCTCCACAGATACAGATGGTGGGAAAAAAAAAAAAAAAAAAAAAAAAACACCCACACATTTTGCCTATAGTTCTACTTTAGACTAGGAAGTCAAGTGTCCTTTCATTTGAAGAGAAAACAAGAGAACTTTTTCCCCCCGCGCCCCATTGTATCTGTGGGTGGGGGCAGATGTTCATGCAGCCGAACTACTCAGAACTGACTACTCAGGTGGAGACAAACACTGGTCTCAGAACAGAGACACTAAATCTACAGAAATTCAGATGTATTCATAGTTTGCTCCTTAGAGCAGGGGGAATTAGGAACAGTAAATATGGTCACCTTAAGGTACTACAACTAGGGGTGGAGCAGACCACCTTCAAAACCAATTCTATGGGAAAGGGATAACAAGGAGAAAAATCGCTATGGTACAGAGAAAAGCAGGTGCAGAGACAGACATGCCAGTATGCCCGCTGTAGTGACTGCAAGTCAGAGTGGCAGGGCTCTCTCACTGAGACACCAAATTGTATAGTAAAGGTTCACAGCAGATTAAGTGCTGGTGTGAATACCCTGGATCTGGTGGCCCCATTTGGCTTTGTCAATAGCTGCTTGATAGAAATATCTTCAGCTAGAAAGCCTTGGTTGAGCAAAACTAGTGAGAAGACCCGCTTCCTTAGTAGGGTTGCACCGATACCAGTATCAGTGCCGATACAAAGCATTTTCACGAGTATCGGTACTCATGTAAATGCTCCAATACCTTCAGGCTCAGTTCTCAGAATTCCCCGCTGACAGAAGACATGTAAACAAAACAAAAAAAGCCGGCAATTACTAGTTGGCAAAAGTGTTACTAAACCCACAACCATAAAATCAGTCTGTATATGGGCAGCACAGTGGTTAGCAATTCCGCATGGCAGTACTAGGGTCGTTGGTTCGAATCCCAGGCACGGCACCACCTGCCTGGAGTTTGCATGTCCTCCCTGTGCCTGCGAGGGTTTCCTCCGGGTACTCCTGTTTCCTCCCGCATTCCAAAGACATGCTGGTAGGTTAATTGTCTCCTATCTAAATTGGCCCTAGTATGTGTATGTATGAATGTGAGATAGGGACCATAGATTGTACACCCCTTGAGGGTTAGGGGCTGATGTGAAGGTAAAGCGCTGTGTAAATTGTCGGCGCTATATAGGTACCTGTAAAAATAATAATATGCAGTGAAGCATGCTTGGTATACCCTAAGACGTTAATCTTCTGCACTGTGTAAAAAGGCTGTTTGATCCTGACTTCTCTGATCCTCCCCTTCTACTGCCCGCAATCCATCTGCTGATAGTACAGAGCTCTAGGAGTCACTCTGTACATGCTCAGTTTAGTGTGTATTGATCGCGGGGGGGAGGGGTTCTGCTTTGAGAGGGTGCTTATGATCAGCACAGGGCCAATAAGCACTGTCCAGAGGGTCAGGAGTTATGCAGCCTCATAAGACAGCCAGAACAGAATGAAAACTCCTGCTACAAGCATTAATCAATGCTCAGCTGGACACTGATCGAAGTCATAAACACTGCTATATACAGCTGATGAGAAAAGGTATGTAGCAGTTTATATTTACTAAAAAATAATTGCATTCCATGTTCTGTGACTGTGGGAGACCAGATATAGCAAATGCAGGGTCATGGGTTTAGTAAAATTTTATGAAGCGGGACTGTGCATCCTTAACCACTTGCCCTCCTGAGGATTTACCCCCCCCCCCCCCCCCCTCCTGACCAGGCCATTTATTTTGCGTTACAGCGCTGCGTTACTTTGACAATTGTGCAGTTATGCAACGCTGCACCCAAATGAAATGTACATCCCTTTTCTCCCCCCCCCACGAATTAAGCTTTCTTTCTGTGGTATTTATTTTTAGTGATATAAAACAGAACAAAACAAAAAAAAAGACTGACAATTTTGAGAAAAAAAAAAATTATATTTTTGACTTTTTGCTATTAAACATGTCCAGTATAAAAAAAAAAAAAAAAAAAAAAAAAAAAATTTCATTTAATCAAAATTTAAGCCAAAATATATTCTGCTACATGTTCTTGCTGGAAAAAAAAAATCCCAAGACATGTAAATTAATTGGTTTACATGAAAGTTATAGTGTTTACAAAATGGTGGTACACACACACACACTTTTTTTTTTATTTTTTCTTACTAGAAATGACACTGCATTAATGGCACTGGGCAGGAAGGGGTTAACATGATGGCCGATCAAAGGGTTAACTGTGTGCTGGGAGTGTTTTACTGGGGGGCGGTGTGTTGGTGCTTCACTGTAAACACACTGCTCCGGATGGCTGTGCACAGCCATCCAGAGCAGTGTGCCCAAGCCGACAGGGAGGAGGACTTTTAGTACACAAAGCAGCCCTCCGCCGGAGATCCTCAGTAGTCACCGGGTGCTGGCGGTTAATCACCAGCCGGGACACGGTGACTCACAGCTGCGGATGGCGGCGCAGGTAGGGCACGTACCCCTTACCCGGAAATACAAAAATAAAATAAATAAATATATATATATATACATACACACACACTGTATCTGCTATAGGGCGGTCAGGATATGGTTAACATCCAAATACTCATTCAGCTGTCAGCAGGGCTCTGTACCCACAGCTGAAGTGTAAACAAGTTGAACTGTCAAAAAAGCAAGCAGCCTGACAATGTTTATCAACAGCATTGATCATCCTAAAACAGAAAGATAAAGAAATTTTTGTATCTGTTTATTCATCCAGAGATCAAAAAGGATGAACTTCCCATCAGCAGATGAGATAATTTAAAAAGCAGCCTGTCCAGTAAAAAGGTTTTTGTTTTTTTTTTTTTATTGTCTTCCTCGGCTTAACCCCTAGTTTACTCTAGTCAGCCCTAATTAAAACCTTCTCCATTCATCCTCCTGATTTTTTGTTTGTTTCTATTTTATAAACTTATTAAAACTTTGCTTTGTTCGTTAATAGTTTTTACACCTTTAACATATATTTACACTTTTCACATTGGAAAAGAAAAAAAAAAAAAAGCACAAAAATGGAAAGAAAAAAAAAAAAAATTGGTAAATAATTCTTCAATGCTTTGTACCAGAATCATGAACAGGACTAATTTCAGAATACAATGTGCACTTTTCAAGTGCAATAACACTATTTTTAAACATTGCTTTAAAAAAAAAAAAAAAAAAAAAGGAAATGATAACTGTGCATCCCTACCCCTTAGTATACTAAATAAAGCTTGTACTTAATGTATAGCCACTAGAGGGGGCCATGCTCTTCCTAGGGGCGGCATCTGTGCCCCATTCAAAAAAGTTTGAATGGAGCTGCTTTTTGGCAAGAACACAGCAAATCAACTTAGGCTAGGCCAAAAGATTAAAATAGTTTATTTTTGAGCATTTAAAACATCTGTTAACTACAAAATAATTTGTAATTCTACAGCAAAGAAAGGTAAAATTAGTTATACAGTTTAAATGAACAAACCTGAAAGGAAATGCAGACCAAAAACAAAAGAACAGTAAAAATTATAACTTACAACTACTGAAGTTAGAATGTGGACCATTCTCATGTTTGCATAGATTCCATCAAAAGAAATCTAAAATAAAAAAAAAAAAGTTAAGATGTTATTTTAATAAGCAGTATCTCATGACATTGCCTGGAGAAAGTCTAATAACGTACATGCCAATGTGAAATCGTGGCCAGACTGGGGACATTCAAGTGTTTACATATTCTTAAGCAATAAATGAGCTTTAACCCCCACCTTGTCTACCAGGGTATGTTTATAAACATCCTAGTATTCATTCAAAAAAAAAAAAAAAAAAAAAGAATTATGCTGCCACCTTCAGGTGAATGGACAATGATGAAAAAACACCACACATGGAAATGTCCTCTTAGATATAACCCCCTCACAACTACGCAAGCCATGAACCACAAAAAGGAGGAGGTGGGATCCCCATTTCCTGCGATATACATCAAGAAAAAAGGATTTTATAGATGAACCAAAAATTCCTTTATAGTATATATCCCAGGACACAGGAAATCTTCATATTCATTACAATCGGGATGTCCCAAGGCACAGAATGTGAGCGGAAGCAAGAGGGCAATAAGCCATATGGTCCAAACAATGAAACCTGATCAAGTTACCACCTGATGCAGCAACCTGCAAGACTTGCCAACCAAAGCGTCCTCAGCAGCTCGAACATCCATTTGCTAAAACTTTGTCATAAAGTATGAACCCGAGACCAGGTAGCAGCTTTACAAAAACTTTAGCTACCAAAGCCTGATGATGAATAAAGCACCAGAAATTCCTGATAGAATGAGAAGTCACCAAAAATGGTGAAACTTTGCCCTTTAGACAATGAGCTTATGGATCCATTGAGAAATAGTAGATTTGGAAGCTCTATGAGCCTTCCTTGGGCCATCAGAAGGCACAGACTGATTAAGTGCAGCAGTCAGTTTCAGGTAACACCTGACAGCAGGAACCACATCCAAAGTGTGAAAAGACTTGTCCTTCAGAGTCTGAGGCTTAGGACAGAAAGCCAGCAATACAATGTATTGGTTGAGATGGAACAAAGAAGCCAGCTTAGGTAAAGAACAAATGAGACTATAGAATCACCTTGTCAAGGTGGAGCACCAGGAAAGGT